TTCCCAGAGCTGCCAGGGGAGGAAGGCCATGAAGCAGGGAACTCAGTCCAGGTCTGCTGGGTGTGTAGTAGAAACACAAAAACTTGACTCATTACTGATGTTCCCCAGAGTCCACATTACCAAGAGACTGGAATCAGGAACTGGATGTGGAAAGGAAATCCCAGTACTCTTATGTGGGCTATGGACATCTCAACCTGCATGTTAATGGGTAGGCCAAACATCCACCCTTGGCAATCAATTTCTATATACTAATCTTTTAATCTAACAACTATACTGAACATGCCTACCAGTTCTAATAATATAGGAATTTTCTTGGATTTGCTATATAGTCAATCACAATGACAACTAATAGGACTAGGTTGTCCTATCTATTCCTTTTTGCCATTATGCACTGTATCTCTTACAGGTTTTTTTATTAATATCCTTTATTACATTAAGAAAGCTCACTTCTATTCCCTGTCTGTCCAACACTGTAAAGAAACTTATGAATGTCTAGTTTCATCGAACTCTTTTTCTTCCTTGTTGAAATTTTAACCTATTAATGTGAAATATTACATTAAAATTTTTTAAATGTCAAAAAATTTAAGAATTTCCTAAGACATATAATACTGAGCCATACTGTTTTATTGTATTATAAACATGAATTTTCTTTGCTAGTTGTATTAACATGTAAGAATGTTTCATACTTTTATCTAGTTCTTACCTAGTTTTGGTAATATATAATCCTGATAAACTTGAGTTGTTCTTCATGTTCCTATTCACTGGACAATTTGGAAAACAGTAAATGTTCTTTGAATATTGGTAAAACTCTTAACACCTGGTATATGACTCAAGCCATTTGTTGAAATATTTTGACTTACCAATTCTCTCAAAAAAAATTTTCAATTTTGTAACTTAAGACCATCTTTTTCTTAAGTCAATTTTCCTATTTTATAACTTTTAATAACTAATCACAGTTTCAAAAATTTTGAAGTGTATCTTAGAATTCTTCCATGACTTAACATATTTCTATCAGTAGGGATTTCTTCTTTTTGATAACTGTTTTTAATGTGGTTCCCCTTTTCCTTTTTGACTGACCTTAGGAGGTTTTATCATGTCTATTACTTGTTCTCAAATTCACTAATTTTGTTCTCCTATTACTACTGTTTAAATGCTCTGAAATTTGAGCTCATATCTTTCCTGCTTCTTGTATTAAAAGCTCAACTCACTTATTTTAAATTATTCATATTTTGTTTTAAAAATGTGCAAAACTAAGTTTCTCTCTACACTGCTTCAGCTGCTACTATGGTTTGAACGATGGTGTCTCCTACAGAATTCATTGAAACTTAGTCTCAATGAAACAATATAGGAGGGTGTCCTCCAGGAGGTGACTAAGTGGCCTTTGTGAATGTGCCTGGCACCCTTCTACAGGGCTGCAGGTTGCACACAGTGCTCCCATGCCCAGGTGAGGACGCAGCACCAAGGCACTGCCATCTTGCAGGCAGATATCAGGTCCTCACCAACTCCAAACCTGCCGGTGCCTTGTTTTTTGGACTTCTCAGCTTCTGAAATTGTAAGACATAAACTTTGTTGATATAAATTACCCAGTCTGTGGTATTTTGTTACTGCAGCCTAAATGGACAAAACAGCAACATCTTACCAGGTTTAGCATTTAGTATTTTCACTTCTGTTCAGTTTCAAATATTTTGTGATTTTCACTACTGTCATTTGCCTCTTTGGTTCATGAGATATTTAGAATTCATTTTTAAGGTTTCCATTCATTTAAAAACCTTTTTACTGTGATGTCTAATTTAATTTCTTGTGGTTGGAAAGATGGTCTGTAGGATATTATTCAAAATTTGAGGGGCTGTGGCGTATTGGGGAAAGCCGCCATCTGCAGTACAGCATCCCATAGGGGCACCGGTTCAAGTCCCAACTACTCCACTTCCAATCCAGCTCTCTGTTGTGGCCTGGGAAAACAGTAGAAGATGGCCCAAGTCCTTGGGCCCCTGCACCCATGTGGGAGAGGCAGGAGGCTCCTGGCTCCGGATCGGCGCAGCTCTGTCTGTTGCAGCCAACTGGGGAGTGAACCAGCAAATGGAAGACCTCTCTCTGCCTCTCCTCCTCTCTCTGTGTAACTCTGACTTTCAAATAAATAAATAAATCTTTATTAAAAAAAAAAAAGAAATTTGAGACTTCCTTTTTTCGATCTGATACATGGATCAACTTCGTACTTTTGTTTTTTGTTGGTCTTTTTACGTTTGACAGGCAGAGTGGACAGTGAGAGAGAGAGACAGAGAGAAAGGTCTTCCTTTTGCTGTTGGTTCACCCTCCAATGGCTGCCACGGCTGGCGCGCTGTCCGAAGGCAGGAGCCAGGTACTTCTCCTGGTCTCCCATGGGGTGCAGGGCCCAAGCACTTGGGCCATCCTCCACTGCCTTCCCGGGCCACAGCAGAGAGCTGGCCTGGAAGAGGGGCAACCGGGAAAGAATCCGGCGCCCCGACCGGGACTAGAACCCGGTGTGCCGGCGCCGCAAGGTGGAGGATTAGCCTATTGAGCCACGGCGCCAGCCCCATGATCAACTTTTATACCATCTCTTGGAAAGACTCTAGTCTCTCTATAGGAGTTATATTTTATACATACACACACATGATTAAACCTATTCACTTTGTTATTCTAACTTTCTATAGCCTTAATAATTTTTTGTTTGATATATTAATTTCTAAAAGAGATGTCTGAAAATTTCCTGCTGTGATAGTGAAGTTTTCCATTTCTCCTTGTAATTCTGTTAGTTTTTCCCTGATATATTTTGAAGCTTTTAATCAAGTGAATACCCACTGGTTGTTATATCTTCATGATACTGTTCCTTTTACTATTAAACAGTATTCTATTTTTCCCTCAAAGCTTACTTTAATTGTATCAATTAATTTCAACTAATAATGATATATCAGCTTCCTTTGATTTATTTTTATATGAAGTGATTTTTCCATTTCTTTATCTTAAATATTTCTATGATTGTATTTTAGGTACATTTCTTGTAAACTGCACAAAATGGATTTCTTTTTAAGGATAATTTATTTGAAAGGCAGAGTTGCACAGAGAGAAAGAGAGGGAGGGAGGGAGAGAGGGGAGAGGAAAGAGTAGAGAGGAGAGAAAGAGAGAGAGAGAGATCTTCCAGTCACTGGTTCACTCCCCAAATGGCTGCAATGGCCAGGGCTAAGCCAAGCTGATGCCAGGAGCTCCGTCTGGGTTTCCCACATGGGTAGGAAGGGCCAAGTATTTGGGCCATCTTCTGCTGCTTTCCCAGACATATTAGCAGGGGAGCTGGATTGGAAGTGAGGCAGCCGACTATGGGATGCTAGGGTCACAGGCAGCAGCTTAACCTGCCATGTCACAATGGCAGTCTCACAAAATGAATTTTTATAAATATGATAATTACTATCTTTAAAGTAGACTCAATTTCATAATTTTAGATATACTGAGTTACTAAGGTAGTTCATTTATTTATATCATATTATTTTCTTTTATCGCTGTTTCTCTTTGTTTCACTTTCCTTTCCTATTATCAGTGGAATTGAAAAAAAGTACTATTATAGTTCTTTTTTTCCTCTCTGTATATTATAAGCTACAGGTAGTATTTCTATTCCTTATATGATGTTCCTAAATTTTTTAAAAAAAATGTTTATATATATATTTTTTCACAGTTTAGGGTTATTTTATTAAAATCCACTTTACACACTGTATATTTTATAACTGATGCCTAGAAGTTATAGACAAAATAAGACAAAATAAAATTTTGGTTTTTAAACTATTCAATTTAAGAAATTTACCACCATATTTACTAATTTCCTTCCACTATTAAATTATTGTATTTACTGACTTCCCTCTGAATACAACTTGCCAAAGAATAACTTTAATTAAACATCTAGTAACGGGAGTTTATTGGTAATAATCTCTCTTGGTCACTGTATGCTTGAAATTTTATTTACTTTCCCTCATTTTCCATACATTGAGGTATAAGTTATACAATATTAGAAAAATTTTCATATATGTATATAATGCTTCTGTTTAGCCACCACCTAGATAAAAATCCAGAACTTTTGTAGCATCCAGAAAGCTCTTTTATGTTCCCCAACCACTGTTCTAACCTCTATTCCTAAGGATAGTTTCACATATTTTTGGTCTTCCTACAAATGGGATTATGTAGCAGATAGTGGACCTCTCTCTCTCTCTCTCTTTTTCTTTCTCTCCCTCTCCCTGTAACTCTCCCTTTCAAATAAATAAATCTTAAAAGAAAGAAAAGCAAAGCAGAATAAGAGCCAGAATGACTTTCAACACTAGCTTGCTATGACTAACTCGCATACCTTAGCACGTGAAATGCCCATGAAGGAGCATTTTTATCACTTTTCTACCCAGGGTACCTGACTCATCCAGGCTCTAGACCTGATTTTCCCATTCACTTCATTCCTCTAATTCTAAGTAATAATGCAATTATCACATACTGAGTACATTACTGTGTAAGGATAGTTAGCTAAATACTTCAGAGAGGTTCTTCAGTCATCACAAAAAGTATGAGTCCTGTTATCCTCACTTTACAAATAAAGATATGGAAGTTTAGGAAAAGTGAAACAACTTGTTCATAGCTGCACAACTAGTAAGTAGCAAAGCTTAGATTGGAACACAAGTAATCTGACCCCAGACTGAAGTTCTGCGGCACCTTCAGCAATAGGTCATTTACTGACTTTCTGTAAAGCTTTGCCATATAAGATTTTACAGTAGACCAATGGGTATCAGCTGTAATGCCTTCCTGCTTTGGAATGTGCTTTTCTATAATTAATGAGTCACTTTTTATGTTTGATAAGATAATAGAAAGAAATGCTAAGAATGACCCAATGAGGAAGGGGCAGTAACAGATATTCAGCAGTTAATGACTTCAGCTGGAAATAAAAATGAAGAGTTCTAATTTTAATGCAAATGTAGGCCCTTACATAGATTTGATTGATATATAATTGAAGTACTTACCTCTGCTAAGTCTTCAAAACAGCTTCCTACTAATGGGTGGGGACTGCCTTCATCAGTCATTTCTACAGTGTCTTCTATGTGGCCCAGTAACTTTACACTAAGTTCATGTATATCTACTATACGACTAAATATATTTTCTACATCCTGTAGGGAAGGAGTGGGGGGTAAACACATCAATTCAGTTAGGCTATTGAGTAATAATAAAAATTCTGAGCCAGTCTTTATAATCACAAAATTCAACATGGTAGACAGTGAGAAATTTAAATGACTTATGAAGATTACAAAAATGTTCTGTTTATAACTAAAAATAACAATATTTGTCATATTAGAAGTTAAAACCAAGAAATTCTCAAAGCATTTCTTTAAAAAAAAGGCCTATTACATGTCGATATAAATATCATTTAATGAAAAGTAACTATTTTTCTAAAACAACAAAAAGGAAATATTTAGAAGAATAGCATTTCATTTAAATTTATGCAAATCTCTAATAATAAGAGACAGCAGGATTTGCATATCTATTTCTGCATTCAGTCTGCTGTTATAAATTTGTTTTGGTTTAATATATGAACAAAATATAGCTTTATACAAATATGTAGTTAGAAAAGAGGGGAGGTATTTTAATAGTCTATTCAAGTATTTGTGGATATTCTTTTCTTTCTCTGTGTAATTCTTCTATTTAAATATAATTCACACATCATAAAACTTATCATTATAAAATGTATTTACTACTTAATAGCTTTTAGTATATTTACAGTGTTGCATCACTACTATCAAATTCTAGAACATTTCATTACCCCCAGAAGATATCCTGTACCCACTAGCACCACTCACTCTTCATTTCTCTTTTCTGGCAAGTACTATTCTACTTTCTGTTTATATGAATTTGCCTATAATGGACATTTCATATATAAGCAAATAATCTTCTATGGTACTATATCAACATTCAACAATTAGTCGTTTCTTACAGTTAGCTGCAATATGGACTCTGAAAATATACTGTTTTTGTACCACTATATTAAAATCCACTGGTTACTATTATTTGATTTGATTATTTTTATCAGTGATTACAATTTGTCTAATCAACTTTGAGGCATGGTTCATATACAACAATATATACCTATCTTCAACACACTTTTTGGAGATTTTATACAGTTATTTACATTTGTAGCTATCACTGTAATCAAGATACAGGACACTTTTATCACCTTAAGAAGTTTCCTTCTGACCCCATCCCTGTCTATCCTCACAACCCTCAGCAGGAAAGCAGTGCTCTGCTTTCTGTCACTGCAGAATGCTAAACAAATAGAATCTCTCTTTATGTCACTACAGAATATTAACAAATAGACTCACATCCAGTTTTCTGTGTCTAGTTTCTTTGCTATGTTTTAAAGATGCATGTGTTAGGAGTCACTGTGCACTTATTCCCATGTAGGATCTCTGTCCTTAATGTGTTAAACTATGAGAATTAATGGTAAAAATAGTCTTCAAACAGTACTTTATACTTCGTGTGTCCGTGTGGGTGTGATCTGTTGAAATCTTTAGTATATACTAAGTTGAACTTCTGTATATAAAGATAATTAAAAATGAATCTTAATGAAGAATGGGATGGGAAAGGGAGTAGGAGATAGGATGGTTTGTGGATGGGAGGGTGGTTATGGGGGGGGGGGACCGCTATAATCCAAAAGTTGTACTTTCAAATTTTATATTTATTAAATAAAAGCTTTCTAAAAAAAGATGCATGTATATTGGTGCATGTCTAACAACTTCATTTCTTTGTATTGCTGAGTAGCAAGCCATTATATGAGCACAATTCATACAGTCATTTATCTTTGATGGACATCTGAACTGCTGCCAGTTTTTGGTGATTACAAATAAAGCTACTATCAACACTCAGGAACAAGTTTAGTGTGGACATATTTTAATTTCTCCTAGGTTAAAACCTAGAAGAATTGCTGTGCAGTAGTTTATGTGTATTGTTCTATGAAATTTCCAAGCTACTTTCTAAAATGTTTACTCTAGTTTACATTCTCACAAGTAGTTGCTCCTCATCCTTTTCAACATTTAATATTCTCAGTTTTTTAAAATTTTAGTCTTCACATGAGTGCATAGTAATATTTTATTGTGGTCTTACTGTGCATTTCTGTGATGACTAATGATACTGAGTGCCTTTAGATGTGTTTTGACCATAATATGCCTCTGATTTTTGTAGGCTAAGAAATTTTGTCTCAATTTTTAAATAACTTTGTTGAAATATAATTTGCATACCATATAGTTCATCCATTTTAAGTGACTAAAATCAGTTTTTAGTATATTCACAGATTTGTACAGTCATTCCCCTTTCTACTCCTTATTTTTGTTTACTCTTTGCCATTAATTTGAGTCCTGTCCAAGATTCTGAGGCAATCATTATTTCTCTATCAGTCACCTACCACTGTGTGGCTAGTTTCAGAAATTACTAGCATCTAATACTCTTAGACAACCTCATCTGCAGTCAGTATTTCTTCAAGACCAAATAGGCTGGTTAAATTATTAATATAAGATTAGTAAATCCCCTTAGTTTCACTGTTACTGGCTCTACTTCTGTGCTTCCAATAATACTCTCATATTTCTACTATGGTAATTATCACATTGTAATATAATTAATTTTAAGTTTACATATCTTGACTACACTTGAGGGAAGGAAATGTTTCTTTCTCATCTTCAAATTAAAAAAAAAAAAAAATTCCAATTGCTACACATGGTGCCCAACAGTACAACTGACATTGAAGAAGTGTTGGTTGAATGAATCAAATCAGTCAAATCAAACAAAAATATCTTCTATCTAACTAAGAGGGCTTCTTCTTCAGAATACATGTAAAAGTCTTTGAATTCATTTTCGCTTACAAAATAAGCCCACTTTAGATGTTCGTCTTTTAACTTCTGATGTTTAATGTCTTCAAACTCCTGTAGCACTTTGTGATGCTGAATTGTCTTATAAACTTAAGCAAGTGGCAAATTAGTAAACTATACAAATTCAAACTTGAAATGGTCATACTAACATAATACCTACATATATATATATATATGTATATTTACAATGATACTTACATTAGCTGAAAACAATTTTGAATTGGAGACAAAGGGCTCTCTAAAAACTTTTATAATTAGATTCAGTTCCCTTATATATTGTCGAATTTCTGCCATAAATGCCTTTACCAAATCATAGTAAGTTTGTTCTCCTGAGGTGGAAGGCTCTTCATCAGTTAAAGACAATATGTTTATATCTTCCACATCTTGATGAAACATATCCATCAATACCTATGTAGTGAGAGATATAAAAAGCATAACAAAATATGAATCCATAGTAAAATTTAAAATTAAATGCTCTACGAGTCCTTTGGTTATTTTATTTTCTTTTTAAGATAGATTTGGAAGTCAGAGTTACAGAGAGAGGGAGAGATAGAGATCTTCCATCTGCTGGTTCACTCCCTAGATAGCTGCAATGGCCAGCTCTGGACTAAGCTGAAGCCAGGAGCCTTTTCCACTGCTTTTCCAGGGAGCTGGATCAGAAGTGAAGCAGTGAGGACACAAATCCACCCATATGGGATGTAGGCATTGTTGCAGGTGGCAGCTTTACCTGCTGTGCCACAATGCCAGCCAATGAACATGATTCTTAAATAATAAAGAGCAGGACTGGCGCCGCAGCTCACTAGGCTAATCCTCTGCCTGCAGCATGGCGCCCTGGGTTCTAGTCCTGGTTGGGGCACCGGATTCTGTCCCGGTTGCTCCTCTTCCAGTCCAGCTCTCTGCTGTGGCCCGGGAAGGCAGTGGAGGACATCCCAAGTGCTTGGGCCCTGCACCCACATGGGAGACCAGGAGGAAGCACCTGACTCCTGGCTTCGGATTGGTGCAGCGTGCTGGCCGCAGTGCGCCGGCCATAGCGGCCACTTGGGGGATGAACCAACGGAAAAAGGAAGACCTTTCTCTCTGTCTCTCTCTCTCCCACTGTGTAACTCTGCCTGTCAAAAATAATAATAATAATAATAATAGAGAGCAGAAATACAACTTTCTCTTCTGGAATATATTTGACCCCTACGCCAGTGCTTCTCTACAGTAAGTATCATATACTCCTCCTTCTCCAAGTTCTCTGTCAATACCAGGCCTGCCTGCCTGCCTGTCTCCTTTGTTAACTCATTACTTCTGGTTTGTTCCCAAATCCTGTCTTGAATTTCTGTGACTTGGTTTCCTCTGCTCTACAACCTTACCTCATCATTTTAATTCATGGCATCACTACCTCATATTTGAAGAGGTCACAGTCCTCTAGTTGACCTCTTCTACATTTGTTGGAAGCAGATCAAAATAATCTGTTTTCTCAAAGTCAACTACTGCTACTACTCTTGTTGAAAGTCTATCTTTCCCATTCTTGTGAACTTCCACAGCATCACTATTCCTATAACTCAATAAAATATTTTATCTTGTGCTTTCTGTTTACCAATTTAAGTATTGTTTATCAACTCTGGAGTCTCACTTTATAATTGTCTTATATCTTCTACTTGTGTGAGCATATAAGTAAGCACTCAGAAATATCTCACTTATCTGATTCATTAAAAAGTATCAAATGATGGGGCCAGTGCTGTGGCATAGTAAGCTAAGCCTCTTCCTGAAGCGCCAGCATTCCATATAGATGCCAGTTCGAGTCCTGGCTGCTCCACTTCAGATCCAGCTGTCTGTTAATGGCCTGGAAAAGCAGTAGAGGATGGCCTAAGTGTTTGAGCCTCTGCACCCACATGGGAGACTCAGAGTAAGCTCCTGGCTCTTGGTTTCAGATTGACCCAGCTCCAGCTGTTGTGGCCATTTGGGGAATGAACAAGCAGATGAAAGACTTCTCTCTCTGTCTCTCCCTCTCTCTGTAACTCTGCCTCTCAAATAAATAAATGAATTTTAAAAAAAATAGTCAATGTTGTGATGGGTGTTTGGCACTTGGGATGCCCACATCCCATATAGGAGTGCCTGCTTCAAATTCTGGCTCCACTCTCTATTGCAGCTTCTTTCTAATGCACACCCTGGGAGGCAGCAGGTGATGGCTCAAGGATTTGGGTCCCTGCCTCCTAAGTGAGAAATCCAAATTGAGTTCCAGGATTTTGGCTTCAGCGTGTCCCAAACACGGCTGTTGCAGGTATTTGGGAAATGAGCCAATGTCTGTCTCTCGGTCTTTCAAGTGAATAAAATATAAACTTCCAAAATGATCAAATATTTTATTACCTTTTAAATAATAATTTTACAAAACAAATACTCATTTAAAATATCAAAACATTTGAAATTCTTCAGATCAGGTAATGTGTTTACTCTATTAATATATTCTGAAAGAACACAAACACTAAAAGAGTATCAAGCAGGTTCACATATCAGAAAGACAATTCCAAATCAATGAGTATAGTGAGAAAAATGAGACCTTTAATCGGAAAATTTTTTTTCTTGGAAAGTCATTATAAAACGAAATATTGAGGTAGTGACTAAAAAAGCTTTAGACTCAGATCTGGACTTTAAGTTTGACATTTCTCAGAAAATTCTGAGCCAAGTTCTTTAGAGAGAACCAAGTTCTCTCTGACCTTCAGCTTCTCTTTGATAAAATATAGATGAGATCAATGACTTTAGAGAAGTCTTTGGCCAGTGCCGCGGCTCACTAGGCTAACCCTCCACCTTGTGGCGCTGGCACACTGGGTTCTAGTCCCGGTCGGGGCGCCAGATTCTTGCCCGGTTGCCCCTCTTCCAGGCCAGCTCTCTGCTGTGGCCCGGGAAGGCAGTGGAGGATGGCCCAAGTGCTTGGGCCCTGCACCCCATGGGAGACCAGGAGAAGCACCTGGCTCCTGCCTTCAGATCAGCGCAGTGCGCCGGCCGCAGCGCACCAGCCATGGCGGCCATTGGAGGGTGAACCAATGGCAAAAGGAAGACCTTTCTCTTTGTCTCTCTCTCTCTCACTATTCACTCTGCCTGTCAAAGAAAAAAAAATAAAAAAGAAAAAAGAAATAATGGATGGAAAGGTCTTTCTCCATGTCTCCCTCTGTAAATCTGCCTTTCAAATAATTTTTTAAAAAGAGATTATTATTATAATTAATCTTAGTTGCAGCAGTATGTGAGAAAAAAAAACATGATATGTTTAAATAAGTTTTTAAAAGATTTATTTATTTGAGAGGTAGAGTTACAGAGAGAGAGAGAGAGAGAGAGGCAGAGACAGGGAGAGGTCTTCCATCTGCTGGTTCACCCCCAAAATGGCTACAACAGCTGGAGCTGGGACCATCTGAAGCCAGGAGCCAGGAGCTTCCTTTAGATCTCCCATCTGGGGGCAGGGACCCAAGCACTTAGGCCATCTCTCACGGTTTTCCCAGGCCATAAGCAGAGAGCTGGATCGGAAGAGGAGCTGATGGGACATGAACTGGAGCCCCTTTAGGATGTTGGCACCACAGGTGGAGGCTTAACCTATTATGCCACAGAGCCAGCCTCTGTTTAAATAAATTTTAACATTATATTTCTAGGGGCCAGAACTGTGGCGTAGCAGATAAAGGCACTACCTGTGATGCTGGCATTCCATGTAAGTGCCAGTTCAAGCCCTGGCTGCTCCACTTCTGATCCAGCTCCCTGCTAATGTGCCTAGGAAAGCAGCAGAAGATGGCTCAAATGCTTGGGCCCCTCCACCCACGTGGGAGACCCTGATGAAGCTCCTGGCTCCTGCCTTCAGCCTGGCCTAGCCCTGGCTGTTGCAGACATTTAGGGAGTGAACCAGCAGACAGAAGATCTCTCTGTCTCTGTAACTGTACGTTTTAAATAAATTTAAAAAATGTATATATCTAATATCCTAATTCTATAAAATGCTATCTTAAATACTTCCTATTATTTATTGGAAATATCCCCAACACATAATACAGTATACAATTTTGTTCTGTCTGAAAACTGTGCTACCATCCAACAACCTATGAACCAAAATGTAAGAGCAAAATATATAAAAGCCAGGTTTCCTACCTTATCAGCGCACATTGCCACTTTAATGTCTTGTTTTGTAATTTCATAATGCCGTATATTTCTTACATAATTCCCCACCAGTTTTAAAATGTCTGCAGAAATATATTCTAATACTGCTACTATGTAAACAGAAACCTGGTGGTCAATTTTATAACCTAGGACCTCCTGCAAAATTTAAAAAAAGAATGTTTAAACATCATATATTATAAATTTAACACACTGATTAGAAATAGAAACATACACAACTTAGCTTCAATTTTAGTGAGTTTTGTGGTATCAACAACATTTAATTTTAAATGACTCAGCTATGAAAAATATATGTATTATATTAAAATGTAAGCTAAGAAAATGTAAGGAAAAGTTATCCCTGATCAATAAAATAACTTGAGAAGTACAGGCTACTGAACAGTCCCTAACCTAGAAAGGAAACTCAGGTTTATTGTAGAGGAACAAATGCTCTGTTACTGAATTCAGAACAACTGCAAGTAACTACAACAAAGGAGTTTTTTTCTTTTACACAGAATAAGAGTTAGTATATTATTAAAAATAAGGAGTACTGAGGCCAGCGCCATGGCTCATTTGGCTAATCCTCCACCTGTGGCGTCGACATCCCATATGGGCGCCAGGTTCTAGTCCTGGGTGCTCCTCTTCCAGTCCAGCTCTCTGCTGTGGCCCAGAAGGGCAGTGGAAGATGGCCCAAGTGCTTGGGTCCCTGCACCCGCATGGGAGACCAGGAAGAAGCACCTGGCTCCTGGCTTCGGATCAGCACAGCACCGGCTGCAGCGGCCATTTGGGGAGTAAACCAATGGAAGGAATACCTTTCTCTCTGTCTCTAACTCTAACTGTCTAATAAAAAAGAAAGACAGAAAGACAGACAGACAAGAAAAAAAGAAAAAAAGAAAGAAAGAAAGAAAGAAAGAAAGAAAGAAAGAAAGAAAGAAAGAAAGAAAGAAAGAAAGAAAGAAAGAAAGAAAGAGAAAGAAAGGAAGGAAGGAAGGAAGGAAGGAAGGAAGGAAGGAAGGAAGGAAGGAAGGAAGGAAGGAAGGAAGGAAGGAAGGAAGGAGTACCTATTACCCTTATACGTCTATCCTTTCCAAAGGAACACAGGTTCCCCAAAACTTAGTTTTGGGCACTTAAGTGGCACTTTACTGGTGTCAATGGCTATATCTATGGGGGAAAAAAAACCTCACGATATGTCCTACTGAATAATAGTGGTTACTGAGAGCATGCTGAATGTCCTTTTAGACTTCAAAGAGATTGGCTTCTATGGGGCTTATCAGTTCCTATAAAAGAATAAACTGTATTTTCTAAACAATGCAATTAAGAGGCATTTTTTAAAATAAGTTACTTCAAGTTAGGGATGGGTCACATTTACCTTTTGGGATATGTTAAAACTATTACATGTATCATGATAAAGATGTAATATTAACTTGAAATGATATCCACAATTAGATTATAAAATTCAAAATGTAGTATTAACACAGCATGGACATATCTTAATCTGTTAATTCTCTTTGAGTTAAAATTCAATGTATGCTCAATGAAAATTTTGAAAAGAGAAACATAAAGAAGTATGCAACTACTAATAATTTAGCAACTTTCTATAACTTGTACATTTCCTCAGACTAGTAAGATAAAGGCAGATACTTCTATCCTAATAACCAAATGCAAAACAAAACCTTTTACAGTCTTAAGTTATTTAGTGTCAGATTTTCAAAAAGATTACACAGAGCTTGATTGATTAATACTATCATGTAGAGTCTTGTGAACCAGGCCTACAAGTTACTTGATTGCTTTCTGCCTCTGTTACCTAACTTACAAACTGAGGATCATAGTAATAACTTTGTTGAGGAACAAAACTCAAAAAGAGACCATGTATATAAGCATTGATATTTTGCCTATATTATAATATTACAAAATTATTTTGTCTAAAAGTACTATTAAAATTTTAATTGTTACCATATCTTTATTTTTGTTGTTAAAGCTAATCAACAGTTCTTTATTAAGTAAAACAGAAACAACCTCATTGGAGTTTCCAGCCGTCCTCCTATTAGTTCAGGAGAGACTGAATTGATTAGATGACTGATTTAAATAACTAATACTGGATCATTTTGAGGGTCTTCAGGAAATTTTTGTTTAACGATTATACATAAACCTATGGCAGTCTTATAGAGGCCCTTATACAAACTATGAAAGTCTGAAGAATTTATAGGGACACTTAGATCTAACCAACAAGGAGGAGTTGTCATAAATCCTTTTTGTGGTTCTAATAATAACTAATAAACAAAATCCACAATAACTTTCTTGGTCTGAACTTTCAGTTTACTTGATGATTGTTATTTTTATGAAATTACTTTCAATCATATTGCCCAATTTATGCTTTCTTGTTATCACAGCATCCCTCCCCACCACATGAATCCCTGGAAAACTTAGAGTAAGAGAACTTGACTCCTCAGTTGACCCTATTAACTGTAAAATATATTCTCAGTGTTGAAAATGGTGGGTTTTAGCTCACTTTTAAAAGGCAAGAAGGCAATATTTCAGCTTTACCTTTAATAAAGGATGAATTTTTTCTACTGGGAGAGATAAAGGGTTTCTTCGCTTCCTCTTTTCAATAGCCGATTGGGCATCAGCTATTGCCCACTTATCAATTGGATGAGGAAAACTTTTTTGAACACGTTCCTTGGAAAATAGGAAAATAACAACTAAGCAACAAACATGAAATAGTGCTCGTCACTTAAAATTTACTTTTAACATAAAAGAATACCAAAAGTAGAGCTTCCCATATGTGGTATAATTTAAACTACATTTAAGTCAAAAGAAAACAGTAATTGTCAATGTATTAGTGTCTTAATTAGGCAATTAAGAGACTATCCTTTCCATTATTTAGGGGAAAAATCATATCATGAATTTCAACTTCACTATGGTAAGCTAATGACAGTAAGAAGAAGAAGCCACTTTATACATTACTTTTATAAAACTTTAAGGTACAAGACCTGAACTCAAGAAATATCTAATTTTAATTCTCATTCACTTCACCTTCTTTTCAATACCAATTACAAACTCAAGCAGTATTTTGCAACTGGAATCTCTAAGAATTTTTTCCCTTTATATCAATCATGCAAAAGTACTTACACAATGATTTACAAATCACAGAAATCAATGGTTTACGTGAGTAGCAGCAATTTTAATATACTGTAGCTTATCTTCAGTTAGTCTTCCGTAAGTCTTTAATTTCTTTAAGAAAACACCTCAATTGAATTTATAGCACTTACTCAATGAAAATTTCCAAAGAATGTAAAAGAACTAAAGGTACTGTTCATTTAAAACAAAACTCTCAAGTTTTAAAATCCACCTGCAGGGTACCACAATTAGAACCAGTAGAGGGACCGGTGCTGTGGCACAGCAGGTTAAAGCCTCTGCCTGCATCGCCAACATCCCATGTGGGCAGCTGCTCCACTTCCGATCCAGCTCTCTGCTATGGCCTGGGAAAGCAGGCCCTTCAGCCCCTGCACCCACATGGGAGACCCAGAAGAAGCTCCTGGCTTTGGATCAGGGCAGCTCGGCCGTTATGGCTCTCTCTCCCTCACTCCTTCTCTGCCTCTACCTCTACATCTCTGTAATTCTGCCTTTCAAATAAATAAAAAAAATCTTAAAAAAAAAAAAAGAACCAGTAGAGGCCGCTATTCCTCAACTCCAAACGCACGTGTTTTAAATTGATTAGTATTCAATTAGTAGCATTAAAAAACACCCTAGATTAAACATCATCCCAGATTATAAATCTGAACAAAAATTTGTGTCTGTAGCCATTGAAAAGTAAAATAAAAAAAAGTAAAAAGTAAAATAAAGCATCCAAGTGTTGCTGAGGGACGGGGGAGGAACACCCTGATTGTAGGACACACTAGAAGCAAATATAGAAAATGAAAAATTTAATCTTTTTAATTTTAATAAATTTTCTGTTCTACTATGTTCAAGGCTGAAGTAACTATTAAATTTTAAAGTGATTATTTTAATTCTAATTAGTAAAATTAAAAATGTGCTGAAATAAATTGTTATAGTTAAAAATGAAATTAAAATCTAGTTAAAAATCTACTCGCCAGGATTCTACCTTCATGCAGTAAAGGCAACACTAAGGTCCAAAACACAGGGGGAGCCTGATGGGTGGAACGGCAGAGAAGGGGAGGGCGAGAGGTGGAAAAGAACATCCAAAACAAAAATTATTCTTTTAGCTAAGTCAGTTCTATAGATTTGTCAGCCCCAAAAATCACAAAAAGATTTAGGACTAACTCTACCTTGGTTTTCAGGTAAAATGTTTATACTAGTGCATTTAACTAATGATTAACTAAATCGGTCTAACTATGATACAACCTAACAAGGGTATGAGCCTACAGTTTTCTAACTTTTTTCTAATTTTTTTCCATGATGACTTTTGTTTTAATTCAATTCATAGTAAGAAATAAATTCTCAACATTTTACATTACATCCTTATATACCACACATTCTCAACTGAAAGCTTCAAGACACAAAACCTACCCTAATTATATGCAGCACAATGGTATTTCCTATTTTTTAAATTAATTAATTCGAGAGGGAGAGAAGAAATGTCTCTCTACTAACCCAAATGTCCACAATGGCCATGGAGCTAAAGCTGGAAGCCAGGAACTCACCCAGGTCTACCAGGTGGGAGGCAGGAACGCAGTTACTTGCGCCACCACTGCTCCTTCCCAGGGCTTGCATTAGCAGGAAGCTGGGGCCAGAAATTGATTTCCAGCGCCAGAAATCAAATTCACGCACTCCAATGTGGAAATGGATGTCTCACCAGGAGTCTTAACTGCTGTACCAAACACCATCCCTCTATTTTTTTAAATGTTGATTCGCCAATGTATGAAAGTACTTTTATGACTTATTTTTAAAAGTGGTGTATAATAGGGATAGAGAAGCAGAAGAGGATAGAAGCTGAACTCAACCTGACAATTATAAATAGATTTGACATATGCCTTTTTAAAAAGCAATCACCAGTGGAAGAACTACAGAAACAAACTGTATATAGGCAGAGGTCAACGTAAAATAAAAAGAAAATAGAACAGTAATTCCTATCCATATCAATTTTATCCATTTCAATACAAGTTAATTATTTTGAGAAGGGAACAGAAAATCTGAAATGATAAAAGGAATGGCAAATGATAATGAAGAGCAGGATATTTACTTATTTATTTGAAAGGCCTACCAGGCACATTAGCAGGAAGCTGGATCAGAAATGCAGAGTAACCAAGACTCAAACTAGGCATACCAAATAGTGGGTGTCTAAAGCAGCAGTGTAACCTGCTGCGCCACAGTGCTTGCCCCCAAAATATCTGAAACTTATTAATGGAATTCATTTACCAAATATATACTTGAGATAATGCTAAGGGTAGAGTGTATGAAAAAGATTAATAGCATCAAAATGGTGCCTTGAATGTGGAAAGGTCAAAGTGAAAGAATTATTTTATCTCTTGAAGTGATGTTTAATTATAATTTTATAGTAAAATAAAATTTCTGTCACAAACATTTTATATATTTTTAAAGAAGCCCAATAAGAAATGATCAACAAAAGTTTCAGAAATTAGAATACTATTACCCTGCCATTTTCAAGATAATTAATTTGTTTTAAATGAGAAATTTCATCTTAGTATGTAGTACTATTGGAAAAATTAACAAAATACAGAGCTAAGTTTCAAATTCAGTTCTGCTTCTTATTATCAGCAGAATCCTGTCTTTTCTTTTATACAATAAAGAGGTTCCAGCAAATGGCCTTGAAAACACTCTATTATCTATGAAAATTCCTATACATGCACTTCAGTACAAAAATTCAAACATTCAAGTATATTTTGTAATACTAAACGTACCAACAAGGGCTTAAAATGTATGGGAGATTTTTTTTTTTTTGTCAAGAAAGGAATTCCTCAGGAAACCTAAGGGTTAGTGGAAAACATAGTAGACCTACAAGACCTCTTTAGGATACCAAGGAAAAAACCTTTAAAAAATGCATGAATGGGGGCCAGCACTGTGGCATAGTAGGCTAAGTTTCTGCCTGCAGCACCAGCATCCCATATGGGCACAGGTTTCAGTCCTAACTGCTCTTCTTCCAATTCAGCTCTGTGCTAATGGCCTAGGAAAGCAGCAGCAGATGTTTCAAGTTCTTGGGACCCTGCACCCACATGGGAGATCCAGAAGAAGCTCCTAGCTCCTGGCTTCAAATTGGCCTACCTCCACCATTGCAGCCATTTGGGGGAGTGAACCAGCAGATGGAAGGCCTCTCTCTGTGTCTCTCCCTCTCTCTGTCTGTAACTCTACCTCTCAAATAAATAAATAAATAAAATCTTTTCTAAAATGAATGAATGAACAATAAAGGAGACTTTTTAAATTTGAGGATGAGAAGGCTCATGACAAAAAAAGTCTAAGATAAAGGAGTCTCAGGAAAGCATAAGATAAATGAGGAGAAGCAAAATGTATCAGGGTCCTAAGAAACCAAAGCTGGCTAAATAGAGGTCTTATAGGTTAGGAAGGGGTACAGGAAAGTCAAGGTGGCCAGAGAGAAATAAAGAACAGTGCAATCATGAATAGACAGAGGAAATTTTAAAATATACATTACCAGGGACATATCCAAAAAAGAAAAAGACAACTACTAGCATTTGCCTCTTTACAGAAACTTATACTCACTATAATAGAGGGAGAAATAAACCAAACTGGAGTAATTTTCATATAGTATCTTCTCACATTTGAATTAATTTGGATCAACAGGGTCAAATAATATATATACTTCTTTGTGCATGCTCATAGCATTTATATATAGACTTTCTTATTCATCCAGAATACTAGCTGACAGACAGTAAATGCTCATATATTAATGACATGTATTAATGAATATTGTCTGCAGGGGCAGTGCTGTGGTATGCCACTGCAGGCCGCCACCTGCAGTGTTGGCATCCCATATGGGCGCCAGTTCGAACCCCACTGCTCCATTTCCAATCCAGCTCTCTGCTGTGGCCTGAGAAAGCAGTAGAGGATGGCCCAAGTCCTTGGGCCCCTGTACCTGCGTGGGAGACCCGGGGGAAGATCCTGGCTCCTGGCTTCAGATTGGCACAACTCCAGCCTTTGCAGCCAGTTGGGGAGTGAACCAGCAGATCTCTCTCGCGCGCGCACGCTCTCTCTCTCTCCTTCTCTCTCTCTACTTCTCTCCATTTAACTCTGACTTTCAAATAAATAAATTAAATCTTTAAAAAAATGAATATTGTCTACATCAATAAAACAAAATCCCATTGATTTGGACCATGATAGTTCAAAGAGCTAGAGGCAGAGAGAGAGAGAAGTATTCCATCTACTGGTTCACTCCCCAAATGGCCGCAATGGCCAGAGCTTGGCCGATCCAAAGCCAGGAGCCAGGAGCCTGGAGCTTTTCCCAGGTCACCCACGAGGGTGCAGGGACCCAAGGACTTTCAGCCATCTTCTACTGCCTTCCCAGGCCACAGCAGAGAGCTGGATTGGAAGTAGAACAGCCAGGTCTCGAACCTGCATCCATATGGGATGCCAGAGCTTCAGATCAGGGCGTTAACCCACTGTGCCACAGCACTGGCTCCTCTCCACTTTCAAGAGAAGTCCTGCCTTCAACTTTACTGTCTATATTAAGGACACCTAAAACACCACTGGCATTTAATTCCCTAAACACTCACATCAGGAATCTTCACCTCTAGGCCAGCCACCACCACAAGGCTCCATCCTGCTTTGTAGTATGTAATGAATGAAACCTTAAATTCAAACAACTTTTTTAAGATCCCAATCTATTCTATTTTTCTCACTGAGACAGTCTAGTATTATCAGTTCTATGACCTTACTAAGAAATTCAATACCCTGTTCCCTCTCTTTTTCCAATCTATCTGTCTTCTCCTACTTGGCAGGATAGCTTAGCAGAATGCATACTCAAAACTCTGGACTCTCTGGATTAAACTCTCGACTTCACTATTTATTAGCTGTGATCTTGGGCAAGTTATTCAATCTCTCAGTGCTTCAGTTTCCACATTCATTCATTCAATACAGATTTCTCGAGTGGCTTCTTTGCCAGACATTATTATTTCAAGGTGCTGAGGATTCAGCAGTGAGTAAGGAAAAAAATCCCAGGAGCTCATATTCTAGTTAGGGGAAAATAAGTGCCATCTTTGTGGTGTTATTATGAAGTTTAAATAAAATACAAAGCATGAACGTGTTTAGAGTAGTGCATAATTCTATATAGCAAGCACTTAAATGTAAAACATTTCACTGTTTTCCTTATCTGATTTAGATGCTCTCATTAAATATGCCTACTTGTCAATCCTTCTACCCTCAGGGGAGTAGGGCAGGGCCTGGGTAGGGATTACCTAGTAGCCACAGTGTGCCATAAATATATTGTACATTCTATGGGTGCTGTGCCCTGAAAAGGTTCCACAGCACTGCTATCACCAATTTTCAGATTCCTTTGCCCTACTCTTCTGCCACTGTATATCCTTCTTCCTAAGTTTTGAGATGTTTTCCTCTTTCAATTGGTGGGAATGAATTTACTTGCCACCTAAAACACATATAACAATTGAAAAACATTCCTGGAAATGTTATTGGAATGCTAGCTAACATTTACAAATAAACATTTGAATATATACTATTATTAAAGGTGTTATCAAGCTAGCCATAATAAGCTGTTCATTTTAGCATAAAAGCAAAATATGGAACAGTTTAATAGCTGAAATATACAAAAATTATCATATATTCAATATGGAGAAAAACAGTCTTCATTTTCTTATATACCATATAGTCATATATTTTTTGCAGAATTGGAGAGCAAACTCTTTTTTTCCTTTGCTGACATTACCACAAACACTAGGTTTGATACACACACACACACACACACACACATAGATGTGTGTGTATATACACACAAAAACTAAACACAAGTAAAAAGTTATCATACCTCTACATCTGAAGCACTTCGGGGCTGAGCTTGACATAGCATATTTAATAACTGCAAAATTAATTCTTCAACATATTGAAGAGCATCATCATTAGACTCAAGAGTAGGATGAACTTGTCCCTGGACCTATAAACAAAAAGCAAGGTAATTAAAATGTGGGCTTGTTTAACCTAATTAAACAAACATTTTTTAAAAAATAGGTATTTATAACCAAGGACATAAAATGACCTGCAAATACAGTCTAGACTGAACTATAACTCCTCAGAGAAGAAACTGAGCCCAAGAAGGTTTTAATCAATTGGCCAAGCACTTCTGACCATATTCAGTACAGCAAGGACCAACCTGATTATAATTTAGCTATTTAATAAATTTCTCCATTCTATTTATTAGATGACTAATCAGCAGGCAGTTAAAGTATCAAGAATTTGGACTGGACTCCAGAATTTGTGATCCTCAATTCAGTGCTTTCCATTCAACACACCATCACACTCTAATGTGAGTAGCTATCTAACCTCGTAAACTTATTTTTTCTTCAACATACTACATGATTAAATCATCATTCATTGAAAAAAAGAAAAAAGAAAAAACCTGGCACTAGATAAAAGTTCTACTTTTACACATTGAATTACATGTCCCCAGGGGCTTAAGCCATCTTCTCAGATATCCTTTATGTTCATGATTAACTTACCTTCATTCACTGGTGAATCTTAATACCACATGGTGGGTTGTTTCTATCTAGCTTTCAGTCAAGTTCCCCCCCTTTTTTTTTTCTTAAAGGATTTATTAATTTATTTGAAAGGCAGAGTTACAGGCAGAGGCAGAAAGAGCAAGAGAGGTCTTCCATCCACTGGTTCACTCCCCAGATGGCCTCAACAGGTAGGCCAATTCAAAGCCAGGAGCTTCTTCTGAGTCTCCCATGCAGGTGTGGTGGCCAAGCACTTGGGCTATCTTTCACTGCTTTCCCAGGCCATAGCAGGGAGCTGGATTGGAAGCGGAGCAGCTGGGACTTGAACCAGCACCCATATGGAATGCTGGCACTGCAGGTGGCGGCTTTACCCACTATGCAACAGCGCCAGGCCCAAGTTGCTTTCATTTTTGAAACTCTCTTTCCTTAATATTGGTGACACAATCTATTTTAGTTCTCTGATTTCTTTGCTCTCTTATCTTACGGAGTTCTTGTATTTTCCTCCACTCTGCAAATGTAGCTTCCATCCTTGTCTACTCTCTCCACCTACATTTTTTTTTTTTTAGATTTATTTTATTTATTTGAAAAGCAGAGAGAGAGAAAGAGAGAGAGAGAATCTTCCATCTGCTTGTTCATTCCCCAAATAGCTGCAAAGGCCAGGGCTGGACTAGGCCAAAGCCAGGAGCTTTATTCAAGTCTCCCATGTGGGTGCAGGGGCCCAAGCACTTGGGCTATCTTCCACTGCTTTCCCAGGCACATTAGCAGATGGGGAGCTGGATCGGAAGTGGAGCAGCCAGGTCTTGAGCCGGCACCACATGGGATGCCAGTGTTGCAGGTGGTAGCTTAATCTGTTATGCCACAATGGCAGTCCTATCTCCTTCTACCCTTTCCCACAAGTAATCTCTTTCGTTTCTACATTTTGAACCTCACTTGTGTATGTCTCTCCCTGTATCTGTGTAACACTGATTTTCCCTCTATCTCTGTAACTCTTTCAAAATAAATGAATTTTTTCTTAAAATAAAACTATATCACACATGAAAAATACTTTTTTTTCAAATGAACATAACTATTTTAGAAAAACAGTGTATACAACCCTTGGTTTCACTAAGATATAGTCCTGAAAAATGTAGCTATAACTGAGGACTACAGTCTAATACATAAACACATATTTATAGAACTATCAACTTTTAGAAGTAAAGAGATCTCAGAGGTCATGTAACTCAGTCCCTCTATTTAGCACAGAGAAAAACAAGGTACTCATAATCCTTTTGTTGCTAACTAATAATACTGTAGGTATTGAACCTGGATCTCCTTGTGTCTAAATCAAACCTCTTTCCACTAAACCCCTGGGAGAATCTGGGAACTATTCTAGTAGACATATAAAAGTAGAGAGTGAGCACCCATGAACTATATCTATTTTTATAGTGGACTTCTATATAAAACTTGAAGTATGTTGTCATACTTCAATAAACATCAGCATGTCATAAATGAAAATATAGTAATATAGTCCTATAAATCTTTATAATATGAAAAGGTACACTGATTATACAAAGGATCCCAGTGGTTATGAATTATATTAAATTATAAATACACTAATAATGCATATTAAAGTGAAAATATCTAATCAATAACAATTCAAATTACTTTTTAAAAATATCAGAGCCCTTTTAAGCGGTAGTTTAAGCAACATTTTAGAAAGTGTTCTGGTGGCTGCCTTGAGGTGCAGGCATCCGATATGGGAGTGCCAGTATGAGTCCCAGCTGTTCCACTTCTGATCCAGCCCCATGCTAATATGCGTGAATAAGCAGCAGAGGATGGTTCAACTACTTGGGTTCCTGTCACTCATGTTGGAGACCTGGATAGAGTTCAGGCTCCTGGCATCAGCCTGTCCCAGACTTGGCCATTTGGTCCCGGGCGGGGCGCCGGATTCTGTCCCGGTTGCTCCTCTTCCAGTCCAGCTCTCTGCTGTGGCCCGGGAGTGCAGTGGAGGATGGCCCAAGTGCTTGGGCCCTGCACCCCATGGGAGACCAGGAGAAGCACCTGGCTCCTGCCTTTGGATCAGCGTGGTGCGCCGGTGGCAGCACACCAGCCACAGCAGCCATTGGAGGGTGAACCAACGGTAAAGGAAAACCTTTCTCCCTGTCTCTCTCTCTGTCCACTCTGCCTGTCGAAGGAAGGAAGGAAGGAAGGAAGGGAGGAAGGGAGGAAGGGAGGAAGGGAGGAAGGGAGGAAGGGAGGAAGGGAGGAAGGGAGGAAGGGAGGAAGGGAGGAAGGGAGGAAGGGAGGAAGGGAGGAAGGGAGGAAGGGAGGAAGGGAGGAAGGGAGGAAGGGAGGAAGGGAGGAAGGGAGGAAGGGAGGAAGGGAGGAAGGGAGGAAGGGAGGAAGGGAGGAAGGGAGGAAGGGAGGAAGGGAGGAAGGGAGGAAGGGAGGAAGGGAGGAAGGGAGGAAGGGAGGAAGAAAATGTAAAGTGATCAAATTATCTTTTAATTTAAAAAAACATATAAAAATTTTATTTCTTCACTAATACTTCTCTAGCTGTTCTTCAATTGACACTTTATGCTGAAACACTGCATTCACATTCACTCTGTTGTCCATACCTGATATTCATCATCTCACCCTTTTACCTACCTGTTGGGACTTTCAAAACTCAGATTTCAGGGTGGGCATCTGGCCTAGTAGTAAACATGCCTACATCTCATACCATAGTGTCTGGGTTCAATACCCAACTCCAGCTACTGACTCCAATGTTCTGCTACTGCAGACCATGGAAGACAGCTGTGATGATTCAAGTAATGGGTTCCTGCCACCCTTGTGAGAGACCTGGACTGAGTCCCAGGCTCCCAGCTCCCAATCTTCAGCCCCACTCACTCCTAGATCAATCACAGGAAGGAACCAGCAGATAGGAGATCCTTCTCTTAAATAAATAATACATAAAAACCCAAATGTCATCTCATTTGGGAAGATGTCCTTGCTTCTATTTAATTCACTTAACCAATCTTAAATGTATTTAATGCCAAGTCCTTAGTGCTGGACATAAAAGAATGAATCAAACACAGTCTCTGTTTGTATGGGCCTTATATGCTAGGCTCTGTGTTAATCCCTATACTCAGTACCACATTTTGTTATTGAGTTTATAATACTGAATTATAATTCGTGTTTCCTTGTCCACTTGCTCTAATGGACAATGATGTTCCAAATGGGAAGGGTTTTATCTCTTAAATTTTAAAGGATCATCTTCTCCTTGCTTTCACTCCAAACCCCTGACACTCAGGGAATACTCAAAGCCTCCATGCTGTAGAAGTGAGAGGCATAAAACATTTCTTTTTCAGAATTAAGATTTAACAAGATGGCAATGAGGGATGGTTCTTGTGTTGGTTTCAAGAGAACAAAACCCTTAAAGCAGAAACTATTCAACATACAAAGGCAGTTATTACTGTAGATGCTTACAAAATAGAGTGAAATAAACATATACACAGCAGTTAAATGCAATAGTTAAAAACAACAACTTAATACTGCTTATAATTCTAGCACACATAATTCAAATGTTAAGTCTGGCATTCTTTTTTTTTTTTTTTGACAGGTAGAGTTGTAGACAGTGAGAGAGACAGAGAGAAAGGTCTTCCTTCTGTTGGTTCACTCTCCAAATGGCTGCTACAGCCAGCACTGCGCTGATCCAGAGCCAGGAGCCAGGAGTCAGGTGCTTCTTCCTGGTCTCCCATGTGGGTGCAGGGGCCCAAGCACTTGGGCCATCCTCCACTGCCCTCCTGGACCACAGCAGAGAGCTGGACTGGAAGAGGAGCAGCCAGGACTAGAACCCAACACCCATATGGGATGCCGGCACCACAGGTGGAGGATTAACCAAGTGAGCCACGGCACCAGCCCAAGTCTGGCATTCTTTATGGTAAACAAATTTCTAGAAACTTCAAGTTTAAACTGTTTTATTTTTTGATGGTTACTAAATGACAAATAAAATCTATTATGTAAATAAATCAAAAAAAGAATTAAGGGGCTGGCCGTGTGGCACAGCAGGTACAGCTACCACCTGCAGCGCCGGCATCCCATATGGGCATCGGTTCGAGTCCCAGCTGCTCCACTTCAATCCAGTTCTCTGCTATGGCCTGGGAAAGCAATGGAAGATGGCCCAAGTCTTTGGGCCCCTGCACTGGGAGACCTGGAAGACGCTTCTGGCTCCTGGCTTCGGATCAGCCCAGCTCCAGCCACTGCAGCCATGGGGGAATGAACCAGTAGATGTAAGATCGATCGATCGATCTCTCTCTCGCTCTCTGCCTTTCAAATAAGTAAGTAAATCTTTTTTAAAAAAAGAATTGAGTTCATAATTAGTTTTTTTTAAAGAGAAAATAATGCATGATGTTAACTGTTGTACTAATTTTCTGAACATTAACCCTTATCATACCTTATAGCTATCAAAATTAGGATCAAA